ATATATATATATATATATATATATATATATATATATATATATACACACACACACACACACACACACACATATATATATATACACACACACATATATATATATATATACACACACACACATGTTAAAAAAATAGACTGGGGATAGAAGGAATCCCTCACTGAACTTGGACATTATGAATTGCAGTAGAAGGTTTTAAATAACTCTTATGTTTATTTTAGAGTCTTAGATTTAGGTGTTTTGTAAAGAATTTTTATTTCAGATAAACCCCATGGTAAATCTTATCATTTTATGGTGGCTCAATTATATACATACTATTTAAAATCCAGGTCTTACAAAGGGTTAATAAAAATGAATTCCAATTCACTTTTTCAAAAAAAGGTAAATATATTAGGCCCTTTTCTTCATGTTTACTAAAAATATATTCCTGCTGCCTTTTCATAAGTGCTCCATAATTCCATTAACCACATTTTGTTGATCTCTAAATTCATACAAGCCTGAAATTTAAAGGTACAATTTCATATTCAATATCAATAGTGTTAAAACAACCACACCAAAAAATAAAATAAAATAAAACACCTCACAAAGGAAAACTATGTGTTACAATTGGTGTCCTTTTATGAGTTAATGTGCGTATGGGAAATATATTGTAAATGAAAATGTAACTGCTCTAGAAGAATAGGTAGCTTTGCTTTTTCTTTGTTTTACAGTGAGTTGGAAGTTCAGAAAACTATCCATCATGCAGTTACTAGAAGGGTAAATTAAATCAGAGGGCAGGAAAGAGAATAGAGGAGGCAAAAGGAAATAAAGGAAAAGCAGGAGGTGAGTTAAGAATGAGCTATTGCTTGTGAACTACCTTCTGTCTACAGAAATGATAGGAAAACGGCAGACAGGGCAACAGACAGAAAATTGCATCAGGCTTCAGTGTTTATGTTTTTGATGGAAATGTACAAATGATTTCCATCCCTTACAGTGCTGTCATGCTCCATCACTTTAGTCCATTTTCACCTTGCAGAGGAAGTCGGAGCGGGACCTCCTTCTCTGACGGCTAATTAATCTCTCACAAGCCTGCCCTCACCTCAAGTTAGTGACCCCTGAGCAGATTTCTTTCCCCCTGGAGCAGTCATTTCTTCTCTTGAGCAGTAGGAGGACCCATCTTTTGTTCTCATTTGGGAAGCTCTGTGAGCTTTAGTATAGCACTGAGAAATAGCTCCTTCTAACCTACAACTGTAAATGAATATATATATATATATATATATATATATATATATATATATATACACACACACACACACACACACACACACACCCAAAGAATGGAATTGGGTTTTAATGACAACAGACAAAGCCTGAATGTAAATTTTTAATTTGCACCATTTTTTCCAATAATACAATAATAAATAAGGACACATGTAACTTAGATTATGCAGTTTCTGTGTATATATATGTGTGTTTCTTAGCTCTTTACTGTGATGAAACAAATACACTTGTAACACCGATGCATTTTTCTTGAAAATACTACCAAATTTTGCAAATAGGAGAGTGCTTTTAGTTTAACAGCTAACTACGTATGTAAAAAAATTAAAAGGAGAATTTCATATATGTTGAAATGCTCCATTAAAAATAATAAAACCTATTTAGTTTTATTTTATTTAGTAACTAAAGTCTTCCTAAGTTACCACAAATCAAACATTTACAAAGTGTATATCTTAATTTCATCACAGTTGGAAATTTTATTTCAATAATGGCTCATAGAAGGTTAGACATATGAACCATACTTTAATATTTTTCTGATGCTGTCCACATATATCTTTCTTTTTATTGTAATTATCTGTGTTGCTTTTATATTCTCTTGCTTGTTTTGTGAAATTTTTTTATTTCTTTACTTTTTATTTCCCTTTAATTAAACACAAATGCCTCAGGTCAGCCATATATTTTGTGCCTTTAGAAAGCAGAAGACATATATGTTAATAGAATAGCTATTTCAAATATTAAAGACTCTGTCCATCTGTGCAAATATAACTTGACCTATATATGTATGGAAAACATACTGGACAAGAAAATAGGATCATTATAAATATTCGATTATTTACAGAGATGTATATGGTTCACATTTTCAGCATCTTCACATGTGTAGTGTTAGCACAGAGCAGGGTCCACTGTGTGTCAAAGCCCCCAAAATGGGAATGGGAGACTTTGGCAAAGGAAGTAGAGGTTTATTAGTTGAGGAAATGGTGCCATGCCCGGAGTCAAAAAAGAGCTAATGCTCAAAGACTTGGCTTCCTCATAGTTCCTAGGAGATACGTTATACCGGGGGAAGATGATTAATCATGGAGACTTAGGGAGTGAGGCTTGTGGCCGAGGTTGTGATTTCTACTGATTGGTCAGCACTAGGATGGGGGGTAGCAGATCCGTTCATCTCTTCCTGATGTCAGCTGGGGTGTGTGTGGCTTTGTCTAGTGTTTTACAAGTATGTGGTCAGTGGGGTGGTTCTGAAGCTGAAAGACAACTGAAGCCTAAAAGTTATCTCTAGTTTTGCTAAAATTCTGTCTCTGTGGTCAACAGGCCCACAAGGTTCTGTCCCTCAGATTATTTGATGTTAATCAGAATCTCATTGTCCTGAGAGCTTAATAACTAAGGGAGTGGGTGTGCAAGTGAGAAGGAGGCAGTGGGGCAGGTGCTGGGTGAGACCAGTTTAATCACAAGGGAAGAAAGGCAAACAAGTCGTATGAAACAAATGAAGTTTCAGAGCGGTTACAGTAGTCATTATTTAAAAAGGCTATACTGGATGCTGTTAACCGCACATCGTAGGGACTCTGAATTAGGTAGTTTTTCTACAAAAGGTAGTGAGTTCTGTTTCAGCAACAGTTTAATTTGAGGTAAATTATTTTTGCCTTTTAGGCTTGGTTTTATTCTTTGGTAAGACAAATGTACTTTGGTTTCAAACTAAATTCATGAATTTGGCCCTTACTCCTATGGTGGAACCTTCTTCAGTCTCAGCCAAAAGTCTGACCTTGCTCAGTAAGTTCCCTCTTCTCTGCTTGGCGTCAAGGTCCGGCGTCTTGCAGCAGCGCCTGGTCTCTGCTATCACCGTCCAGTCTCAGTCAAAACTCGGGAAGTCTCTTCTAGGCCTTCTGGAATCTTACTCCGTAGAGATGCCACCTAGACCTCAGCCCACAGTCCATAATAAATCGTCGTACAGACTGCTGCCATCTCCAGTGTGGCTCCCTTTTCTCAGGGGCCCGGCACTGGAAATTCTGGCATGTTAGCAACCCAGACTGTTCTCCCCGCTCCTCGGCTCAGTGAGATTTTGGTTCTCCTGGGGTTATGCCATTGTCGTTGAGAGGAGGGTAATGCTTCCAAGCAGAAAGACACTGCAGTTACGAAGCTCATGTTGAGTTTTCCCCTTCATTCAGGGACTTCCAAACTGCGCTGTTTAGTTCAATGCCAGCAACAGTTGCCTGATACAATTTGTGTAATTGTATAGCTGTTTATGGTAAGAGGAGAAGTACAGTACTGGTTACTGTGTTATTCTTAGAAATAGAAACCCTAGCAAGACATTTTTATTGTTAGATAAAGGAGATAAAGAAGATTTCGATAAGGAAGGCCAGTGGAGGGTGATGTCGGGGTCAGGAGCATTCACAACTGATGTAGATAGAGCCCGTGACTCAGGGGCTTTGCAACAGCTATATGAACACTTCAAAATATACTTTGAAGTGGAGGAGAGATGAACTTCAGCGAACAAGTCGGTAACACACGTGGTGACATGTCTGTGGAAGACAATAAGTATGTTTAGAAATCAGTAGTAACCTAAGTTTAATTTCCCTTCTTCTGCCACTAATCTTTAGCAGATAGCTATCCTCATACAAAGATAAGTCATTATAAAAAGGAACCAGAACTTATGAAGAATTGCAAAAATTGAAGAATAAATAAGTGAATATAAACCAAAATGCCCCTGAAGGACATACATTGCATCAGAAATGATCTAATTAAAATGATCAATAATTCAAACAAAATCTACTGATCAGAACTTAACTGAGTGATTGTGATATAAAAAATATACTTGTCATCTGTTCACGGCATTATTAATTACCTTCCACTCTTTATTTTTCAAATAGATTTATAAATAAAGTTAATTAAAAGCAATCAGACATCACAAATGAAGAGTGATACTATTGTATGCGTAGGTCGTTTCATTAAGAAACAGCCCCTTCGTAAAATGGAACAAAGGCAAAACTGCGCTTGTCTTTTCAGTTATTTCTTATTGTTTGCATCAGTCATTCACACGCTATAGCCTAAATCAAAATCACCTGAGAGTTTTTTAAAACACAGGTTGCCAGGTCTCAACCCCAGAGGATGAGTCTCGAGAATTTGCATTTTAACCTGCTCCCTAGTGATGCTGATGCTGCTGGTCCGGGTAAAACTCTGAAAACCATTGGTTTAGATTCTCATCCCCAAAGGCAAATTATAATCACCATGAGGAGATGCTAATTCACACTAATACTCAGGCTCCATTTCAGACCAATTGAAATACAATGTCTGGGGCTTGAGGCTAAGTATCTCAGGTGATTTTAATATACAGCGAAGCTGAGAGAAAAAAAAAAGAAACAGAATGACTTAAAGTTTATCTGGTTTTAACCCTTTAGTGGAATTTTTTCTTTTCTCAGCACATTTCTTTACTAATTGGGAACAAATTTATGTAGCCATTCACAATAAGGAATGGGTGGGATAGTATTAAGATGGCTTTAGCAATGCCATAAAGGCATTGATAGGTGATTTAAGCCATCAATTTTTTGCTATTAATTTATATAGTGCTTAGAATATAAAGTAATTTTAGAATTTTTTACAACTGTTGTTCTTAAACATTTTGCCACTTATAAAACTATTTTATGCCTTAGCTATTTAAATTATCTGTATTAGCATTGTTCTGTACAGTTAGACAATGTAAGAAACACATAGGTGCTAACTCCTGAAACTTTAGCTCTTAACTTCTCTCTCTGCAGTGAAAGATGCAGGTGCACTCTTTATGGACACACGGACTCTGTGAACAGCATTGAGTTCTTCCTTTGCTCCAACACTCTCCTCACAGGCTCTGCAGATAAGTCCCTGTCTATCTGGGATGCGAGAACGGTAAGCAAATTGACAACAGTTTTTCCACATTTTCATAAGTGTGGTCACTCTTAGTCACTCTTTAGGCTATGGGTACCACTTCAATAGTAATTGTGCAAGAGCAGGTGAAGTGAAAGAATGGTAGTGTGTTTCCATTTAAAGGTCCTGTCAATGTAGTCTTACCTACCCTGCCTTGTAAACGTAAGGAGTATACAAATAAGGTAACGAGTTCATTAAACACTATTGCAGTCACTTATTGAAATTGAAACTCTGCTGGGTCAGCACATAAGAAAGAGAAATAGGTAGTGCCTCTCCTTAAGTGTAGGTAGGTAAGGAAGGAGGAAAAGGGAGATTATGATACATGTGTTAAAGTGGAAGAGTGTATACAGTACGGCAGAAAAGCAAGAAGAACCCTCATCTGCTCGGATGAGTGTGGATGGCTTCCAAGAGGAGGCTGTGTTGTCACGAGCTGAGATTTGGAGGGAAAAGACAATCATGTATTAGGTAGTACATTAGGTAGTACAGTAGGGTGCATTCTGGGAAAGGACAGTGCATGTACAAAGCCATGAAGGGTGAGGCGACAATGGCGTATTTGGGAACAATAATATGTTTCAGTAGAGCTGAAAGAAGAAAAAAGAAATGATAGACAAGAGTACACAGATGGCCAAGGACAGGATAATAACTATCTGATTGAAGTTTTATACTGCTTTGGAGGGTAACATAATTGGATTTGCCTTTTCGAAAGATTAATAGTAAGATGAAGGAATCAGTCTCATTGAGGAGGCTAATACATCAGGCTAGGGGCAGAAGAGAATTTGAACTAGGAGTTTGTGAAAATAGAAAGGATTGATGGATGAAAGACAGGAGGTTTAACTATCAGAACTTAAAGTGACTGTAGATGGAGATTGTAGGAGGAGGAGGGATTTAGGGCAGGGTGAACAACTGTCCAGTTTGTCTAAAGCTGCATATTTTCCTGGGTCATGGGATTTTCAGTCCAAAAACCGAACAGACCACAACTGTGGCTCCTAGAGTGATTTAGATGGGAAGAAATGGCGATAAAATGTTGGGACTGCATACAGGAACTGTTTAGCTGCGAAGATGAAGACGTGAAAAGGCTCTAGCTCTAGAGTCAGATAAAGGCTCCTCTTTTATTTAGATAGGAGAGAACAGGTTGTCAAGTACCATCATCTATATTAATGTGTTTTGCAGTTTTCACTATTACATCGAAGGAACTACAGCTATCCTGGTTACCCTTTGAATATCTCACAATGTTCAACTGTAAAAGTTAACTTATATTTAAGGACTTCATTGTTTATATAATAACTACATATTTTATAAACAACATATAACATGTACCTTTTTTAATCTGTGTATAAAATGAATTTTTTAAAATTTAGCTATTTCAAGGTTTTCTGTTTGTTGTTTTAAAAACATGAGCTATATCTAAGGTCAAATCACTAGCAGTGTATGATGCAATTTTAGTGAAATGAAGCTGTTTAATTCTACAGTTGTTTTTGTACATTATTTGTAGATTTGTAAATCAATATTTTAGTTATCACCTTTCATTGGCTAGTTATTAGTAACCTAAATAGAGTGATTTTTCCAATCAGTTTGTCTGATTATGGGTAAGAGCAGGGGGAAAAGGGAGGGGTTGAAGATGCAGGAAAGAGAAGAGATAATAGAGGGCTTACTGAACACTGATTTTAGCAATTTGAAGAAGGCCAAGATATGCAAAACAAGATCTCCATATTCATTCTTAGCAACATTTGATGAAAATAATGAAGAAAACTAAGACCCCAGGAGACCGAGGAAAAGGAATGAAATATCTATAGTATCTGGTTCCTGGGTCAGTAAAGAAATGCAACTATAATTTCTCCCATTTATCTTCCCTTATCTAACATATGATCAAAAGGGAATATGAAAATTACATGCAGATGGTGTGAACAGTGACTCAAGTTCAGTATGGTGGGCTCTATTTAGTCACTGAAGGCAAATTTATTTAGGATAAAGAACGGGATGTCCTCAGGTGCAGCTGAAAGTGCCTTAGAGACCAACTTTACACGTTTCAGAGAGTTTGCCTTCTGAGGAGGGGAAGTCAAGGGGCACGGTGGGAAAAGTGATTGAAGAATAAAATCTTAATGTATCGCTGTGGGGTACCAAGGTCCCACAACCTGTGCCTTGTTTTACAATAGCTTAGACCCTGATGCAGTGGAGTTCACTTTTGCTAACAGAACATCAGTGGAAAAGCAAGGTTTTCAATGAATTTAGTCCAAATACTTAGATGTGAAGTGTGTATGAAAGCAATCGCTAAAGGAAAACCCATAGAGAAAATATTCATTTAGCAGTGACCTAAATTTTATGTTCATTTTCTCTTGCTATCAGTTTTTTTTTCTTTTCTGTCTCTCAAAGTGCTTTAACTGAATGTTCTCAGAAATTGGGTCTCTTATTTACTTTCTCTCATGTGAGCAACTGAAGCACTAATGCCTGGAAGTACAACTGTTCTTATTATGAGAAGTCGCCTCTCATAAATCTGCCTTAATGCATGGAGTTGTTTGTTGATGGTGACCTTCCTACCTGATGTCGAGGGCCCCCTGTGCTGTTTCCATTCCCCACAGTAGCTCTGAAAGCAGGAGAGGGAGGGAGTCAGCTCTGCGCAGGGCAGCAAGCAGCAGCACCTGCACTGGATGTATGTGTGCAGAAAGGTGATGGATCCCAAGCACATTACTTCGATCAATATAAATAAATATATTTTTAGTTGGCTTAATCACTAATTAAAATGTATATTATTAACATTATTTTTAATTTTATTATTAATTTGCAAACTAGCCTTTTTATTTATTAACACTAGGAAAAGGGCTATTTGGTATAAATGAAGTGTTACAAATAATTGTAAATGCATCAATAATTAGAAATAAAATCCATTTACTGTGTATATTTTCTGAAAACATTTTCAAACCATGTAGTAAAAAATGCATATTTAAACTGGTATCTGTAATAGAGGCTTATCGTGTAAAACAAATAGAAAAATCACTCTATTTAGGTTACTAATAACTAGCCAATGAAAGGTGATAACTAAAATATTGATTTACAAATCTACAAATAATGTACAAAAACAACTGTAGAATTAAACAGCCTCATTTCACTAAAATTGCATCATACACTGCTAGTGATTTGATCTTAGATATAGCTCATGTTTTTAAAACAACAAACAGAAAACCTTGAAATAGCTAAATTTTAAAAAATTCATTTTATACACAGATTAAAAAAGGTACATGTTATATGTTGTTTATAAAATATGTAATTATTATATAAACAATGAAGTCCTTAAATATAAGTTAACTTTTACAGTTGAACATTGTGAGATATTCAAAGGGTAACCAGGATAGCTGTAGTTCCTTCGATGTAATAATGAAAACTGCAAAACACATTAATACAGATGATGGTATTTGACTTATAACTTCAACTGAATACATAGTATGCAAATCTTTTTGATAAATTTGCAATTATGTTAATTCTTTGATAGATGATAAACTCTCAGGTTATTCTAAAAGTCTGAACCTAAGAGGAGATGAATGACTTTCTTCTTGGTAAAGCAAAAGCAGTGCCTTCTGTCACCTTAGTGTGACCAGTTGGTGCTGAGATGTCCTCTGAAATATTTTTGATTAAACATGAAAATGACCAGTGGATTGTATTCCTATAAATTAGCTTTAAACCCCTTTCTCTCATTTCCAAATATATACTAGTCTTAAATCATTACCCTAATCTAACTGCTTATTGTCAAAGATGATGTATGCGCTGACCTCTAAGTCAGTCTCTGAGTCGGCTGGTCAGATCAGCTCTGAATTTCGTGGGAGCTGAGGAGAGGGATATAAATCTCTATCATTACCAAAGAGCAGCTATTAAATAGCTCACAGGTTGGAAACTCGTGAAATTGCTCAGTTTTACAGAACTACACACACAGTATTTTTCCTCAAAGTTAAGAAACAATAAAATTATTTTATTAAAATTGAAAAATAAGAATAAGATTTAATATGACCAGAATATGATGCATGATATAGTACATTTAATGAAAACTTATAATGTTTTCTCAAAAAGCAGCATGAAAAATCCCAACATACTTCAGTGATTTGGAAGCCATTTTAAAATAAATGCAATGAGATTATTAGCCATTCACACAATAAAAATATCAAGACTTTTGCCCTGGCTGGTATGGCTCAGTGGATTGAGCACTGGCCTGTGAACCAAGGGTCACCAGTTCGATTCCCAGTCAAGGCACATGCCTGGGGTGTGCAAGAGGCAACCACACATTGATGTTTCTCTCTGTTGGGAACTTCCCTGCCTGGTATCAGAAGCTGTAACCAGCCCCCCCCCCCTCGCATGGCTAAGGCTGAGTGAGTGACCTTCCGACCATAAGCCACTAATGAGACAAAACTTATCTCCATGGCAAAAGCATCACTCTGCTCCTTTTACTTCATCCATAAATGAATCCTAATGTTTGATTGCTTAGCCAATGATGGGTAAGTTTCCCCAGACAGGGACCTAAGACAGGCATGATCACGGGGAGGCCCCAGGGAAGGGCTTGGGGGGCTGTAGCAAAAGGGGGTGATGGACCCTTGCCCCTCTGCTTTGACATAGCCTGAGTCCTAATTCTGTCTGGGAGAAGTCTCCTAATCTCTTGGCTGCCTTACTTCCCCTGCCTGATTTAAGCCTGAAACAATGACAGGGGGCGGTGCAGCCCTGTGCTGGAAAGGGCAGGTTCCCTGGGTGATCAGGCCTAAGAGAGAATACATAAAGTTCTGTGAAGCCTGCTCTGCTAAGAATGCTCTCAATTAAATGATGAGGGTCCAAGCTGGAAGTGAGTTTGTTCCCCAAAGTTTTATGGCCATTTAGCTATCTGACCCTGACTCAGAATAGGCCCTCAGAATTCTTTGTATGTTATCTATTGTTTGATCCTTACTGCCTGATAATGATTAATGAGTTTTACCTGTATCCTTGTGCAAAATAAACCCAATAAAAGCCCA